TGCAGAAACATGGGGTAGCATTGGACCAACTGCAAACTTCCTTAAGGTAATATATAATTTAAATAAGAAATCTAGAAACCTCAAAAATGATTAATGGGCCAAAATACAACCATATACTTTAGCCATTACAAGGATAAAGATGTTATTTTATCAAACTGCTAAAGCTGATACTTCACTCCTGTAATAGGAGCAGTGCTTATGCAGCATGAGGCATATTAAAGAGAATCAAATGCATATCTTGTTTATTCATTTTCTTAATTAACTTAAAAAAAAAAAAAAAAACTGGTACTGATGCAGTTATTCACTAGCATCTGCTCAGCCAATGCTTACAGCAGAAACACATCTGTCAGAAAACACTTGACCCAATCTACTGAGCTTGACAAGTTATCCTAATTGGCCAATTATGTAATGCATTTAGATTTAATTCAAACCAAGATGGCTGAGGGCGGCTCTACAATTACACTGTGTCAGAACCGTGAAGGAAACATGTTCAAATGAATCACAAAGACGTAAAGGTTGAAGACAATGTTTTATTGAAACTTAAATGACACAAAACCAAAGTTCAATTAAATGTGGACTTAGAGAAACCGTCAGTGACAATTATTTTAAATAATAAAGTATTAACAATAACAGCTCAATACGTTTGTAAATTTAGTAACAGCACTACAGTTAATTGACTGTAGTGAAAACTGTATTGCCACAGACCTGTAATAAATATTGATAAAAGTCCATTCTGAGATTTTCCCTTTTTAACGGGACAGAGGATTTAAACTGATACGCATCTTCTTAGGTATTCTATGTACAATGCTTGTGTGGAGGATGACCTTCCTAATTACCAGAGACACTGTTACCATTGCGATTAACTGACTCAGAAGTCCAACCAGGTGATAACCAGTCAGTTTTTATTATATACAATACCAGTTTGTAGGCTTTAACTAATGCAATTCTAATCTATAATTTAAGAGGTCTGTAGTTGTGAAAACAAGAGCCAGGTTTTGTCTTTAAAGGATTTGTATTTATAACCTTGAAATTTTCATTTCAAACTCACGTTTTTCTTTCAGGCAAGAGCCATACGCTGTGGTTGTTCAAGGTTGGAACGAAATTTATCAAGAAACCTGGAGGCTAATTCATCATCTACTAGCCGCCCATCACTGGACAATGTAACTGTCATAAGCTGTTGTGTACGCAGCGTCTGGTCTTCTTCATTCAGTCGCAGCTCAGTTCTGGAGGTGCCGACGGCAAGGATGCAGGCCTGAGGGGGGTTGATGACGGCGCTGAAACCACTGATTCCGAACATCCCTAAGTTAGATATACTGTCCCCAGGTGGAATAAAAAGGAGAAAAAAAAAAACAGTAAGAAGAAGAAAAATGAATATTTTTAACATTTATTGTTCTTAAGGGAATGATGAACAGTCAAGAAGCTGACGGTCCCAGCAGTAGACTGACGATATTCTGGACACTGTTTATTAAGCCTCCACAGAGGCCTCAGAGCTGTTTGGCTTAATGAAAGCTTTTGCTCCTAGGATGAAATAAAACGAATAAAAGAGCCCACCCCAATATATCCTCAGTCACAGCAGGACAAGGAGGGCTACATCTTTACACAGATTCATTGTTCTTGTCTGACAAAGACACCCCATTAATGTGTAAATGACACCATTAATTCAAATAGGCTGGAAAAAAAAAAACTCCTGTTTCTCCAATGACAGCACCATAACTTGTCATCCAAGACCACATTCAGTTTAAGACCACACAAAATGTAAAATATGAAGAAAATACGCACAGTCTGTGAAGCCAAAATGAAGCCATAAAAGCTAATTATGCTGACTACTAAGGAAAGTTATGGTTACGCTGATAGGCAGAAAAAAAATGCGACAGTGTTGTTTCATAAAAGTTTAATGTAAGCTTGTCTTTGCTCAGTTAAAATAGTGACTGCAAAGAAAAGAGGAAAAAGGAACAGTATGACATACATTCCTCCTTTTTAACAAAAGCTTGTGTTTACCTGAATGAGCCTCCCTGGTACTCCTCAGGTAAGAGTTTACCGTCTCGAGCTTTCTGGGCCAACACCTGTGGAAATATTTCATGTCATGTAAGCTTTGCATCAGGAAAGAACAAAATAGTGGCTTACACAGAAAACCAGACACAAAACAAGCAGTGAAAAATAACACAAGCTATGATTTTAGACTGTTCTTTGGAACAGTACGATTGAGTGCAATCTTTGCAGCTGAAATGACTGAATGAGGTTTCTTTTAATTCAATTTGTAGCACTTTACTAAGCTAATAAAGAAATACATATGTGTAAAGTGGATCAACATAATCGTGAGTTCAGTAAGAAGACAAAAATACCCAGCTTGGTACCGCTGTGACCTCATTATGAATTTTCAGTTTAGTTTTCCCCGTTACCACAATGATAACGGATGTGACACCATCTTTCAAACAATCCTAGAGCCTCATCATCAACTGACCAATTAGTGATCATGGTTTGTCCTGAGGTGAAAAGGCCCTCCCCTTCAGCAAGGACATTTTGTTTCTGCCTATTATGCATCTAATCGATCAATCAAAAGCTTAAGGATTAACAATGTTCTATTATATTTGTGCTTATTTGGCCCCGGCCTCCACTGTCTGAGAGCAAACACTGTATTTTAAAAGACTTGCGCTGGGTGATTGGACACCACAGAGGGTCCTGTGGATCTAGTTTAAGGATGATTTGTTAAAAAAAAAAATCAAATCTATTTTAGAGATAGAAGGCAGATAATGTGGACATAAACAATGAGGGAAAATATCACAGCAGCACCTTAAGGCTCTCTATGCTAATAGTCCTGCAATGTAAAGTCCTGTTAACTTCAGGCTAAAATCGGGTTGGTTACTCTAACATTAGCTCAAAAGTGGCGTGAGTTACAGTAGAAAATGCAGTGATGTGGTTGGACAGGAAGTGTGACGTTAAAACAAAGAGATAAAGTTTAGCTGTCTCTGATTTTAGTGTTTTATGATAAAGAAAATTGTGCCATGTATAGAATGTTATCATGGTAGCTGGGGGTAGCATATTTAGCACAGCAGTGGCTGTCATGGTAACGGAAGCAGAGGAGCAGCGTATAGGTTTGTTATCATGCCAAATGGGTAGCTGTCCTGTGATAAGGTGTGTGGATCAACTGATATTTGTGGTTCTGGGTGATTGTTGCCATAATTAAGACAGCAAGGTTTAGATTTAATTGGTGACCATTTATTTAGAGTTAGTTATGAGTTGTTTTAATAACTTATTTTGACTTGTGAACACATTGATTGTCTCCAAAGTTCTGACATCTTCAAGTTCCTCATGAAAAAGAGTCAGTGACAGGGAAATAGAGAGGTAGGAACTTCATGAATACAAAATGATGATGAGGAATCGACTGATTAAATGTGCATTTCTTCTGCTGTGCCAGCCTGCAGCTCAAAGTAAGATAACTATTGTACTTTTGCTAAATATCAGGTTTTAGGCATTTTATTAGCCGAGGAAACTATTCAAATAATTTAAAAAAGTATTTTGTCAAATGTATGCCTTTAAACAAATAATTAGATGCTCAATACATTTATTCACGTTTTTTACAAAATGTGATTCATGCATTTGTTTTGTATTGACTTCCTATTTATAGGAGTACTTTATATACAGCGACCAGACACCAAAAAAAAAATAAAATAAAAAATCTAAAATCAGACAAAAACCTTTTTATACTTTAGTTGACCTGACCAAACCTGACAGTATGCCTTATATATGAAAAGACTAAATTGTGAATAAAATTAATGCACATTTTCCTACAAGACTAAGACTAAACCCTGAAAGGCTGCTAAAAAAAAAAAAAGAACACAGTATCAGCATTTCCCCCTCATCCTTTTCTTACCCACAATGCTGTCTGTTTTATGCTAGACTTGACAAGATAAAAAAAAGCCCTATCCATACCTTTTTAGTCTACAAAGACTTGGGGACCTTAGAGATGTTTTTTGGCAAAAGTCAAACAGACCTCTTTTGGTCCCCATTGTTTTCTTTCCATGCATCTCTTCAATGAATTCCAAGTTTGCTCAGTTTCTTTCTTATTGCTGGCTCATTAAGTTATGCAATATTCTAAATTGAAGCCTAGAGTGATTTAGATGGTGTTTTCAGTTTAGATGTTTCATCCGGGATGAGTGATTTTGACATTCTTTGAAGTAATTTCGGTAGGCTAACCCTTCCGGGGAATGTTCACAGTAGTTGCATGTTTTCTCCATTTGTGGATAATGGCTCTCACTGTGGTTTGCTTCACTCCCTAGTCCCCTAACAGATGTCAATAGTTGTGTACTAATTGTTACATTTCTTGAGATTGGAGGATGAGAATCATGTGTTATATTGGAGCATGAGGAGCATGTCTTACATTGGAGCATGTCTTACTGAGATTGTTTAGCCTACTTCATGTATTAAGGATGAGACATTATTGTCAATTATCCCTTCTACAAGACTGATGATAGTCTATGACTGACTGATTTATGAATGTCTTCCAAAAATGGTTCATCAAGCTATGATTTGACAAAGAGGTGAATCAAAATTTATAAAATACTACCAGACTGATGTAAATATCAATTTTCTTTAAACAATAATCATTAATTATATAATTTCTACCTTTGTGGACTTGTTGATGTTACCTATTTGGGAACATTTTTGGTGTATTTGCCAACCTTATAAGGGTCCTGTTTATGTTGTGGGGACCAAATGCTGCTCCCAATGTAGTGGACCCCCGTATTTAATGTTAGGGATTCAGTTTAGAGGACTGGTGTTAATTCACTTCAGGTTAACGTTAAGACTATAATAATAACTGTTAGGGCTAGGTTAAAGGTTAGTTAGTAAAATGAATCTAAGCAAATATTAAGTCATAATATGGATAGAAATACAAACTTGCGTGGGTTAACAATGACTGACGCTGTCTTTCTACAGCGTCTCTGAAACCATGAGATGCATTCTCAGAACTGTGGTGGGATGAGCGGCTGAGATCTCGCGAGAGCTGTGGGCGTGTGCGTAAGTAAAAATGGCGACATACAGGTAATTCAAAACAAACAATTCCAGTCCTGGTAAGTAAGCCAATAAATGTAAATAAAACAAGCAGATTTAAACTTTGACAATTGTACCGTATTTCCGAGGGAACAAACTGGAAGACGAGACCTTGACGAGCCTGGAGAGCTACCTGGACGAGTGTTTTGACAACATCGTAATGGGGAAGCCGAAGAATCCCACATCCACGAACACACCGTCTTCCAAACGATGTCGGTCTAGTTCAACCAGTGCTGCTTCTACATCTACTTTGTCTCCAGACAGGAGCTACAGCGACGTCCTGGAATCCATCGACAAAAAGCTAACTAGCTTGGACGCCCGCCTTGCCCTGGTAGAAGTCCTGCATAAGGAGTTTCAAGCTTTGAGAGAGTCGCTGGAATTCAGCCAAGCTCAGCTGGCCTCCGTCACCGCCGAGAATGAAGCGCTGAAGGGGGAAGTCACCAAACTCGCCGAGGGGATGATCCAGCTGTCCGGCGAAAATAGAAAGATGAAGGAATCCATTCTGGACATTCAGTCGCGGAGCATGAGAGACAATCTCGTCTTCGCTGGAATCGCTGAACAGCAGGACGAGGACCCTGAGGCGATAGTACGTGAGTTCCTCCAGAAGAAGCTGAAAATCCCGGCGGACCAGGTAAAAAACATCACCTTCCATCGCGTTCACCGGCTCGGAGGTAAGAAGCCTGATAAATCCCGTCCTAGACCAATTGTAGCTAAGTTTGAGCATTACAAGCAGAAAGAGCAGGTCAGGAGTCAGGGCAGAGAGCTGAGAGGAACAGATTTCAGCGTCAATGACCAGTATCCAAAGGAAATATTAGATCGCAGGCGAGCGTTATTCCCAATCAGGAAGAAATACATCAGTGAAGGCGTCAGAGCTACAGTAGCAGTTGACAAACTTTATATTAATGGTCAGTTGTTCAGGGATCAGAAGATCACTCCTTGGCTTTATTAGATGCACAACAGGCAGGTTTAAAAGCATGTGACACCTGATTAAAGTGTATAGAACATTTCACGGTGATAAATGAAATATATGCACAGCTCTAGAGCACGTTTGCACGGTATGACTGCTAGTTACAGCTGGGTACAGAATGCATGGGCTGGGGTTCTTTTTCTTTCACCTTTTCTCACTCATTGCACTCTCTTAATTTTCTGTCTTCCTTTTCCTTATTCGTCTGCTTCTTCCCTGTGGTCCACACAATCACAAGCACACGGTTTGATGCTACCTGGGTCTAGGTATAACTATTTATTCAGAGGCATGTACTTTTCATCTTCTCACTCACACCTATGGTGAATGTAAGGTTTGTGACATGGAATGTGCATGGGGCTGGCACCAGAGAGAAAAAGCTTAAGATTTTTAACCAGCTTAAAAGATTAAATGCAGATGTTGTCTTATTGCAAGAAACCCATAAATCAGCGGCATCTATAAGTGATCTTAACTCCCCTGAGTTCCCTGATGTGTTTGCAGCCTGCTATAACTCGAGACAGAGAGGGGTAGCTATTTTAATCCACAAAAACCTCAGTTTTACTTTATTAGACAAAATTATAGATCCTGAAGGCAGATTCATCATAATTAAAATATCTATTTATAACCAAAAGTTGTGTATTGTCAGCATATATGGTCCAAATGTTGACGACCCCTCATTCTTCCACAAAGTTTTTCATGCACTTTCAAAGCACGGGGATTGTTCTCTAATTATTGGGGGTGACCTCAACTTTGGTCTAAATGGAGAAATGGACAGGTTGAGTACAACAGGGACTCAGCGCAGTTGGCAATCATTAAATGTAGTCAAACAATACATGAGTGATTTTGGTCTTTGCGATGCATGGCGATCTCTTCATCCTAACAGTAAGGAATACACTTTCTTTTCCAATGTCCATCATTCCTACTCTCGTCTGGACTATTTCCTAATCAGCAGCTCACTGCTGTCTGACGTCTCAGATGCTGTAATCCATCCTATTGCTGTCAGTGATCATGCTCCTGTTACTTTAACCCTAATAAATAAAAAAATAGTCCCACAAAACAAGAGCTGGAGATTAAATACATCACTGCTTAAAGATGAAGAGTTTCTCAAATTTTTCAAGGAAGAGTGGGCATCATACTTGGTGTGCAATGATTTACCAGGAACATCAGCATCTATACTATGGGAGGCAGGGAAAGCAGTGATGAGAGGTAAAATTATTTCATTTTCATCTCATAAAAAAAAGTTAGAACAAAAAAAGATCCAGGAATTAGAGGGAAAAATAAAGTTACTAGAAAGCTCGCTAGATGAGGAAAAGTTAGGGGAAATCCGTAAAATAAAACTAGAACTAAACGAATTTATTGAAAAACAAAATAAATTTTTAATTCAAAGACTTCGAATTGACAACTTTGAACATAGCAATAAGTCAGGAAGCTTCTTAGCTAACCAGCTAAAAATAAACAAAGAAAAAACGACTATATTTGCAGTTACAGATTCAATTGGTAATACATTACAGGATCCGGAGGATATTAACAATGCCTTCCGAGATTTCTATAAATCTTTATACACATCACAGTTAAATCCATCAGATAATGATATCAAGCGATTTCTGGATAAAATAACTCTTCCTAAATTATCAGAGAGTCAAAGAGCGACCCTGGACTCACCGCTGTCTACAGCTGAAGTTCAGGAAGCATTAAAAAACATGCCAAATAATAAAGCGCCAGGTCCAGACGGGTTCCCTACTGAGTTCTATAAAGAGTTCTGGAACATTCTGGCCCCAACGTTCCACAGAATGCTGCAGGAAACTCTAGATAATGGCAAATTTCCAGTTAATATGAATTCTGCCACCATTAGTCTCCTGCTTAAGCCAGGCAAAGATCCTATGTTTCCGACCAGCTATCGTCCCATATCCTTAATTAATGTGGATATTAAAATAGTCTGTAAAGCTTTAGCAAAACGGTTAGATAAAGTCACTCCTCTCATAATCCACCCAGATCAAACTGGTTTCATTAAAGGGAGGCAGTCAGCTGCTAACACACGCAGACTGCTGAATTTAATAGATTATTCCTACAGCAAAAATCTTAAATCCTATATATTGTCCTTAGATGCAGAAAAAGCATTCGATAGAGTAAACTGGAAATTTTTATTTGCTACTCTACATAAATTTGGCTTTGGCAATTCCTTTATAAATTGGTTAAAAATATTATACAGCTTCCCAACAGCCTGTGTCAGGACAAACAATCAAACATCTTCCAGTTTTTGTCTCCAGAGGGGCACCAGACAGGGATGCCCACTCTCCCCCTCACTTTTTGCTATTTTTATTGAGCCTCTGGCTGCTACAATCAGACAAACAAATATGATTAAAGGTATAAAAGGCATGAAAATGGAGCATAAAATGAGTCTTTACGCAGATGATGTATTACTTTATCTCCAGCACTCAAACACTTGCCTCTCTCAAGTGATTAGTTTACTAGAATCTTTCTCAAAAGTCTCAGAATACTCTATAAATTGGTCTAAATCTGTAATACTACCAATTAATTGCTCTCTACAGAATCCCTCAGGTCTACAATTGCAATCAGGAAATATCAAATATTTGGGAATTACTGTGTCATCTAAACTAGCTGAGTTACCAAAACTCAACCACACCCCTCTTTTAATGAAAATAGAAGAGGACCTAGAAAGATGGAAATCGCTTCCGATCTCCCTTTTGGGTCGGGTAGCCTCAATTAAAATGATGGTCTTACCCAGAATTAACTACCTATTTTCAATGATCCCAAATAAACCATCAACCTCGCTCTGTTGGGGCGGGTGCCGGTGACGCGTGGTGCGGTGCATCGTGCGCGGCTTGGGAGTGGAGGGTTGCTCGGTGTTTGGCGGCGGGGGGGGGACGGGCCGTGGCCGTCCTCCTCTCGGCGGCCTGTGGGCGGTGCGGGGCCGGAGCGGGGTGGGTCGTGCTGCTTTCGCGCCGGGCGCGGCGGGGGTGGTGGGGTCGCGTCTGCTGCTTTCTTTTTGCTGCTTGTGCCGGCTTCTGGCGGCTGGGGCGGCCTTGCTGCTCTGGCTCTCTGGCGTGCGCCGGGTGGGGCTGCTCTGTCCTTTGCTTTGCCTTGCGGCTGTGTTTGCTGTGGTCGGTGGGGGCGGGGTGGTTTCGTTGTGTTTTTGGGTGGGGGAGTCCGCCTGGGGGCTTGGTTGGTGCCGTCGGTTCGTCCTTGTCGGCCTTCCGGTGTTGTTTCTGTTGGGGCTGCTCGGGCCCCCGCATGCCGGCGGTGCGCTGCCGGGGGGATTCCTGTTCGGCGGGCTTGCCTGTCTCCTGGGAGGGCAGGCATGTTGACTTTTCTGGGGAGGAGCATCTGGGTGGAGGGGTCCTCGTGGTGTGGCGGTGGGTGTTGGGCACTGGCTTGTTTGCGGCCGTTCTTCTCCGGTGAGGGGGAGAATATTATAATTTTTTTGTTTTTGTTTTTGTTTGTTTTTTGTGTGGGAGGGGGTGTGTGGGCGGGGGGATCGGGGCTTGGAGTGGGGCTCGGGATTTGCGCTTAGCTGTGTTGTGTGGCTTTCTTCTTCTTCGGATTGGTGCTGTGGGACCGGTGTTGGGGGGAGTCGTTCGGGGGCCGGGGTCGGGGTGGGGGTGCTGGCGCCGGTGCCGGGGGTTTTTGGGCATTGCCCGGCCCTACTGCGGGGTGGGTCTGGGGTGGCTCCTTGGGCCTGGGATCCCTGGGGCGCATTGCCCTTGGGCGGGGTCCCCGGTGGGGGTTCGGATTCTGTGGGGAGTGCTGCTTGGGTTCTGGGCCGGTGTACGCCTGGCTGTCTGTCCCTGCTGCCACGGCCTCTGGTGTGCCGGGGTGCCTCGGGGCCTGCTGGGCTGGGGGGGGGCATGGACATTAACACCTATGGCAAGTGCTTACCCCCTCACGGGTTTGCACTCTGTAAGTGGGGGAAGGGGAGGGAGGGGGAGTAGGTATGATCTCGGCCTGGATGTCTTCTGTCGCTTGTGTGGTGAGTAGCTTGATTGTTATCGTAGGGGAGGGATTACATCTCCGGAGGGGGGGTGGGGGGTGGTGATAGAGGGAAGAAGATCTTTGAAGGGCTTTGGGTCTGGCTCCCTGTCTTGGTCCTGGTCCGTGCTGCCCCCTGGTGGGGCTTCGTCCGGGGTGGGGGCTCTGCGTGTTGCGCGTTGGCTGGCCGGCTGGGATTGTCCCTTCCCTTATTCATTTATTTATTTATTATTATTATTTTTTTTCTTATCTTCCTTTTATATTTTTTTATTTATTTATTTATTTATTTATTTTTATTATTATTTTTTTTTATTTAATTTATTTATTTATTTTTTTTTTTATTTTATTTATTTATCTACTTATTTATTTATTTATTTTTTTTATTATTATAATTTTTTTGGATGGACAGGACGGGGGGGGGTGGTGGAGTCGGCTCCGTGCCCGGCTGGCTGGTGGGTCCTGCTGCCGGTGCCCCCGGGCTATGGTGGTGAAACTGGTGGGGCCCCCTTCTCTGGGGGGGCTCTCGGGGAACGGGGGTGCCTATTGGAGTCAGCGGGGGAGCTGGCTCCCTGGGAGTGCAGCAGGCACCCCAGTCCTTTGCTCCCCATCCCCGAAATCCTCCCTCTGCCTGCTCCATCACTCGGCCACACATGTAGGTTTTTGGGGAGGGGGTCGTTACTGGAGGGCCACACCTTCTGATGACGTCCCCCACCCCAATTTTATTTTGCATTTTAGACACTTCCATCTACATCATTTTCACAACACACATCTATGTAGGGCATTTTCGGGGGGTGGGGGTCAGGGCCACCGGGGGGGGCTTATTTTATGGGCCTCACCACGGTCGGCCTCCTCCATCCCCTCTCGCATCTAGACATTGAGGGTTGAGGGTTGTCGAAGGGGGAGGGTGTGCTGGCACCGTCTATCTCCTGGAGGGGGGGTGGAGTGTGCCGGACACCCCCTCTTGGTACTCCCAGTTTTAATTGCATCTGAGAGCAACACGCAACAACACCACATTCGAGCGGGCGCAGTGAGGATCGGGGTCTTCTCACACCCTTGTTCTCCGGCTGCCGCCTGGAGTCTGGGGCCTGGAGGAAGAGCGGGCCACCTGGTCCGTGTTTTTGGCTGGGGCTGGCTGCGGGGCCTAGGTGGCCTGCTGGTGGCGGGGCTGTCACTTCTGCTCTCCCCAAAGAAGGTTGGATGGAGGGGCATGAAGTGCCTGGTTGAAGGTTTTTTTTTTTTTTTTTTTTTGTTCTTTTCGGGGGGAGGGGCGGTTCTGGTTGGGTGGCCGGCGCGGGATGGGTGGGCCCCGGTCCCGGGGGGGGCTCTTGCGGGGGGTGGTCCGGTCCGTGTGCGGGGTGGGGGGCCGGGCTTGAAGCAGGAAAGAGATGGGTTGGTGTGGCGGTGTCGCCGCTCCCCTCCCCTCACATCCGGATTTTAGGTTCACTTATGGGGTCATCCGATAGTCCCGGGACCGACCACCGGTGTCACCGGGTTTTTGGTCCTGGTATTATTGGATGTGAGTGTTATGTGTGAATGTGTGTCTGCGTTGTTATTTTCTTTATTTATTATTATTATTATTTTATTCAATTTTTTTTTTTTTTTTTTTTTTTTTTTTTTTTTTTTTCCTGTGGTACGAGTGGGGGCACTAGGGAGGGAAGGCATGATTGAGATGGTGTGTTTTTTTTTTTTTTTTTTTTTTTTTTTTCTTTTTTTTTTTCTTTCCCAGGTTGGGGTCTCAACCGCACCCTCTCCCAAATACATCTCAAGTCTCCGCTAAGTGCGGAGCCCATTCCCCCCGTCCTGCTCTCCCTCCGCTGGCTGGCGTCGGGGCTCACCGGTGCACTGGTGGAGCTGGGGGTGGATGCCCGGGGGACTGCTGGCTCATTCCTGGCGGCCTCTCCACTGGCCCCGGCCGGCCGGGGCTTTGCTGGGGCTCCTGTCTGGGGGTGGGGTGCCCTTGGGGCCTCGGATCCCTGGGGCCTGGGACTGGATCCGCTTCGGGGTGGGGCTGGGTGTTGTTCGGGGATTTTCGGGGTCGGTGCCGGTGCCTTCGCTACGATGCCGGTTCCTGGGCAGTGTTTCTTTCCTATGCCGGTTCTGTGGTATCGGTTCGGGGAGGGGGGGAGCTGCGCGGCATGGTTGGGTGCGGGTCTTGGGTCCTGTTTTGGGCTCCGGTTTTTCCGCTCGCACTTCTCCTCTTGCCTATTTATTTTAATTATAATTATTAATTAATTTATTTATTTACCTATTTAT